GGGGGTGGGCAGCAGCCTGCCATAGGGGTCCTATAGACGGGTCCCATAGACAGGTTCAGAGCCAGGCAGGGCCAGTGAACTGTGGGTCTTCTCCCCCAGCTTCTAGTGCAGACAGGTCTCTGTCAGATCCAGGCACGTGGCCAAGCGGCCAGCCTGGCGGAGGGACAGGATGGGTGCCTGCACATCCCTCCAGCAGACACAGCCCAGGCTGGAAAGTGAGCCCTGTTTCTACCAGGGAGGGTAGAGAAGAGTCCGAGTGTCTCCTTGGAAAAAGGGTGTGATGGTATCCAAGGAGCTGGAGCCTTGTTTGGTGACATGGGACTGGGGGCCTTCGAGAGCCTTTAGATGACTGACCCATGTGAGTGGCAGTGGGAGTCCCACACGCTCCCATGACTCAACCCAAAAGCTGATGGTGCGGAACAGCCCATTCCCAGGGCCTGGGCTCCAGCCCAAGCAGGACCTAGAGGTTGACATTCTTTCCACTCACACAATCCTGAGCCACTCCCTGAGACTCACTGCGGTCAGTCGAGGGCTCGCTCGCTATGGGGGGGGGGGGCAGGGGAAGCAGCCCTGACGGTCGGCTCTTCGGCCTGATGCTGAGCAGCAAGATGCAGCCCGCAGCACCCTGGGAAAACTCCACGCAAGGAAGAGTTCACAGAGCAAACAACTACGAACACAGCCTTCGTGCCAGAGCCTGGGCTTGGTGCCAGGCTTTGGGGGCTATTTGAAGTTCAGTTAGGAGTTCCATATATGTTCTGGCCCAAACTCGTTAAAGCCGAAAGCAACTGGCACAGAAAGGCCCCTCTGTGATTTAAAATTACCTTAGGTCCTGAACATCCTTTTGCATGCATCCTGCCCAGAGGGCACACAGCTGCTCTTTTCTGAACGTGTCTTTCTAGCAGGGGCATTATCTGTCTGGAAGCTGCACTGCACCAGGGCGGCCACTATTCTGGACACAACATCCTGTTTCCCCCTGCCCAAATACCAGTAACAATCCTATAAAATCCCCATTCCCTTTAGAAAAGGGTGACAGTGTTTGGAGCGAGTCTACGTCTTCTTGCTTGATGCAAGTAGTAGAACTCTACCACAAATCTCCCATCTGGCCTGGTCAATTGGCTGACATGTGCCAGGTAAACCCTTGAGGGAAGCCAGCTGTTATGTTGTGAGGAACATAGCAGCGTTTGGCAAGGGCAAAGTGGCGAGGGACTAAGGTCTCCTCCATGCAGCCCCGCACTGAGCCCTCAGGTGATGGCGGCGTCATGAGAGCCCCTGACCTGGAGCAGCCCAGCTGCGCTGCTTGCAGATCCCGGACCCTCAGAAACTCGGATACATGTTTGTTATTTATAGCTATTGGTTCTGGGGTAATTTGTTATGCAGGTCCAAGGGAAGACCACCCCCTTTCATTTGCCCTGTTTTCACCACACACAGAATCCTCGGCTTCACTCTGGCACCTGTCTGCCAGATGTGGGGACGCTTTCGTCACGCCAATCAATTCTGTAACATCAGCTGGGCAGTTTTACTCAATTCTAGCACCTGCTACCCAGATAGCTTCAGATCCCACAGGTTAAGGGGTCAGCCCCACAAAACTTCTCCCACTGCAGACACCAAAATTTGAGTTTGGGAATTCATTTGCTAGTGCAACTCACCAAACCAAGAAATGAGCTTACCTGCCAGACTACCTGTTTATCACAAAGAATATCAATGACAGCCTGCTGAAGAGAGGATGAACCTCCTAAGGCCAGGTCCAGAGCATCCTAAGCAGAGAGCTTCTGTTCTCTTGGACTTGGGGGTGTGACCCCCCACCCCCTTCCAGCAAGCAGATGCTTTCTTGTTCACCAAGCAGAGGCTCTAAGGCCCCGACCTTTTGAGTGTTTATGAAGGCCTGTCAGTAAATGAATTAATGAGGCTTTTTACACCACCAGCCTCTGTGGCTGTCACCTGCAGCCTTGATGGTGTTAATGCAGGAGGCGCTTGGGAGCGTGGCTGTGGGGCACGCATGCCTGCTTGTGGACACCTGGAGCATCGGTGTTAGTCTGCGCACTTGAGCCCCGGGGCCAGCGCTATCAGGCGGCGTCACTCAGACACGGACTGGCTAGCAGAGAGACACTGCTACTGGAGGAAGAGCTGCAGAGAGGCAAGACCACGAGGGAATGCCAGAGAGAGCCCTGAGAAAGTGTAGACGATTCACTGGGAGCTGGGGGTCTGCCAGCCTCGACCCCCGGGCCCCTTTCTGGCCCCTTCCTGTCCTGCCTCTCGTTGCCCCACTACAAGGCCTGACGTGAGCATGATTGGGTAAATTATCAGCCACTGGGGATGAACTCGACCTCCGGTCCCTCTCCCTTCACTGAAGATGGGAGGCCGAATACGCCACCCTTCTAACCACCTTGGTTCCCCTGGCAGCCAGCCCCCAACCCAGAGGCCTGTCTCCGCTGCCCTGGGGACTCTGCTGGGACAGAGAGCAAAGTGACAGCCAGGAGGCCGGAGCAGGACAGGGGTGGGATTGAGATGGGATGGAGCCAGAAAACAAAAACTGGGCTTTGTGCTGAGCAATAACAGATGTGCTGCAGACTGAGAAGGACACTTGACTGCTTTGCCGAGGCGCCTGCAGGCCCCAGGTGAGCCGGGTAAGCTGGGAAGAGCGGGGCTGAGCAGCTCTCCAGCAGGCCCCAGGGCTCAGAGGGGCCCTTGCTGCGACCTTCGCTTTTAGCTGCTTTAAAAGGTAGAAAGTAAGCTTATACCGAGAGTTATTCTATGAACCTATGTAAGCCCATGTTACATGAAATATTTGTAAGTATATATTGATTGTATCTATAGGTATTATTAAATAACAAAACCCTACCAGGTTAATTTTAAACACCTAGTTGGCTTTATGAGGGGTTTTGGAGCCTCAGGCAGCTGCAAAATGCTGTCAAGATGAAAGTTTGTTTTTTTAAAAGATTGCTTTATTTTTGCATACAGAACTGGGGTACAGGCCAGAGGTGCAGGGGCGGTGAGAGGCTTCACCAGAGACAGAGTGGGAGCAAAACAGGCAGACTGACTGAAACACACTGTGAGGGGGCGAGATGGGAGAGGTCTGATACGCCATGTGGGTGGGCTCCCTGGCCGATCGAACTCTGCTGAGTGGCTGTGGCCAGCTTCTTAGTGCTGTGCTTTAACCCCTTGTGCCACCAGGGAGGGCCCAAGATGAAAGCTTTTTATAGACAGAAAGAGGGCAACGTGGAGGGCAACGTCCGTGGAGGGCAACGTGGCAGACGATCTCAGCTCCTTTGGGGAATGGAAAAACAGAACAGAACAGATGGAACCGAAAATTCCATCCTGACCAGTTCAAACCACATTCCTGGGGAAGGCAGGAACCTAGCTGAGCATTAGCACAAGTGCCTCCATTTTAGGACTGTCTTTTTCTTAAAAAGATAAAAGATACACACATGAAGAAACAGTATATATAGGTACTATATATATTTGGGTATTCGGAAGGGAGAGATCAAGAGCAAATATAACAAAATGTTAACAATTGCTGAACCTGGGAGGCGGCTTCATAGCGGGACATTTATTGTACTGTGTCCTTCCAGCTTTTCTGTACAGATGACCACTTCTATTTTTTTAAAGCTGGGGAGATAAAAGCTTTGCAGGGCTCTGTGTGACCCGGACGGTGAGCTCAGCCAGGGGTGGAGGCCACTGGGCCTGACCATCGACTGGATTTTCAGGAGCCACGATGCCCTGCGGGATTTGAGTTCTGGAGGGCGGCTGGGCTGAGGTGGCTGCTGCCTCCTCAGGGGGGCGCTGTCTCTGCCCACCTGGCCTGGGCTCCCTTTGGGAACCGTCTGTCTCCAGGAGACCTTGCTGTGCTCTGGCAGTGGCCAGAGATGGAGGAAGGAGAGCGGGGCGGGCCCCTGGACAAGGAAGCAGGAGGACCAGGTCAGGGAGCCCGGCTCCCAGGGCTGGGCTGGAGAGATGTCCCCACACTGGGGTGTGAGCTAATGCTGAGCTTGGCCCTGGCGAGCTGTGAGTCTTAGACAGCTCCCCTCTGGAAAATGAGGTAACTCCCTCCTCGGGAGTGGGGGTCTTTGGGGAGCCTCGTTGACAGGTGGGGTTGTTTAGGAGATTCCACTGGGTTGGCAAGCTATCACCTGCCTCATCCTTGCTGGCCCCTCCCTGCCAGTCCTCCTGGAGGGTGGGTAGGGGTGTCCACTTGCCTTAGAAGCAGCAACTGATTGTTCTCTTCAGACCCTCCCTGGCCATGCCAAACCCACGGGGCTTTCAGATTCTGCCCCCAAACCTGCCCAACCAGTTGTCTGGGAGGAGGGGGCACCTGGGAGGCGTGGCGGGAGGTGCAGATATAGCCTCCCCCAGTCCAGCTCAGACAGCAGCACTTGGGGCTCCGGACATTACGACAAACCCTCTGATGGACAGATGCTGGGCCCTTGTCCTGGCCATGGGGCACAGTGGGGGGAAGTCTCGGCTGCTGGTGCCCCTGTGGGTGCTGCTGACCTGTCTCCAGCCCGGGAAGGGCCTGGGTGAGTGAGGGTGGGGGCATGTAGGGACCAGGTCCGGGTGGGTTAGGGGACAGGGCCCAGAAGACAAAAGACAGACACTGACCCTTGGCTTCCTGAGACCCTACCCCAATTCTCACCAAATGGCTCCCCTCCGTCCTGACCCTGAATAAAGACTTAAAGTCTATGAGGACAAAACTCACCCCAGAAGGACTGTGTGGGGGGCTGCAGGCATTGTTCACCAACTGGGTTCTTAACAAGAGGGGCTTAGCTGTGCAGCCCCACCTCTGTCTCTGCTGCTCCACCTGCTGCCCTAGGTAAGGGGGGTGTGCCTGGGCCTCAGAGGCAGAGCTGGGAGCTCAGGGGAAGGAGAGTCCTCACGTGACTGTTGGAGTTGAAGTGAAGTAAACGGAAATGAATCTGAACTAAGCTGAAGGTTCTGGAGACTTGAATTAAAGCCCCCAGTCCTGGGGGCTGGAGAGAGGATCCCAGGAAGCGTTAGGGTTTCTGAGCTCCCTGAGAAACCAGGCTGGTCATGGCTTTGTGTGTCCTGAAACCCCCACATGGGGGCTCTGACTTGTCCCCCCCCACCCCACCCCTGGTCCTGCCCTCCCCAGGGAAGGCTGTGAGGAGCTGCCAGGGGACAGGTTCCAGAAGGGGAAGGTGCTTTGGGGCAGAGTGGGAAGTAGAGGAGCACCGGGTGGGGGAGGGGCTCTGAGCCAGGACAAGCCCCCCACGGGAGGCCCACCTCCAGGCCTGGGGCCTTAGTGGGGCTTTCCCGTGTCACCTCCCCACTCTCCAAGCCCTTCATCCCTCTCGTCAACAACAACATGGACCACGTGGTCAAGTCTCACCCCAACCAGGCCTAAGTCTGCTTCCCAGAATGGTGCTGGTTGTGGGGCGGGGCCTGCTGTGCCTCCTTGTCCCCTCGCCAGGCCCCACCATCCCCAGGGGAGCCACTGAGCAGGTCAAGGCTGCCCCTCCCGCCCCTCAGTGCCCAACCCTAGCAGCTCCCCAGGACGGGGTGGGGTGGACACAAGTCACCACCATGCCTTGGGACACAGCCCATAGGACGCCCCCCGCCTCCCCCGCTCATCCTGACTGAACTACCAGAAGGAGCCCTAATCCTGCCTGCAAGAGGGGGCTTCCGAGACAAGCCTGCGCCCCGCCCGCTGGCTACAGAAGGTCTCGGGGAACAGACGGTGGTTTTCCCTAGGAGGTCTCAGAAGCTGGGCAGGTAGAAGAGAAACAGGTCATTGGAGGGCCCAGGCTTATAGAGCAGGGAGCTCACAGGAGGCTCAGGGGTGGACCGTGAGATTCCCGCTGAACCCACAGAGGCGAAGCCACGGTTGTGGTCTGGGGCAGGTCTGCTCCGGCCACAGCATATCCGCAGAGGGAGTGTGGGGTGTGGGAGGCTCCTGGGCACCCTCCGAGATTAGCTTCAGATACAGCAAAAGATGATCGTGAAGAGAGGAGAAGGTCTGTCCCCCTCACACTGGGCTCCCAGGCAGGGCCGTGATTCCTCCCCCGTGGACTGTGGGTCTTGGGGGTCCCATGGAGCCTCTCCTCTCTGCCCCGTACTTCACCCCAGAGCGAATCAGCTACGTGCCCCAGCTCTCAAGAGCCAGCCTGGCAGGGAAACTCACCCAGTCCACCTTCACGCTGGAGCAGCCGCGGGGCCAGTTCAGGCGCCTCAACATCTCCGACTTTGACCCCATCTGGCTGGTGGTGGCCGACAGCAAGGGTGGGTGCTGCCCGGCAGCCTCGGCTTCCCCTGTGACGGGGCAGATGGGCCTGCTAGCGACGGGGAGGGGTGTGGGTGCTGCTGGGACGTGCCAGAAGGCAGGCTGGCCTGGGGGGTGGGCTCGGGCCGCGTGGCCGCACCTCTGACTGGCAGTGCCTCCCGCAGCCATCCAGACCTTCACCGCCCCACAGAGAGTGGCGGACATTCCGGCCCCTGCTGACCTCCCCCGGAGGGGCTACTACTGCACACTGCGGGCCAGCCGGGCACACTACCCGGGTGACCTGCCCGGCGGCCAGCTCCAGGTGCTCCGAGTGGGCAACGATACCCACTGCTCCTCAACGACCAGGGGCTGCAACCACCCACTGCCCAGCCCAGGCCCCTACCGGTGAGTGACTCTCCAGGCCCCGGGGTGGGGTGCCCCTGCTGTGTCCAAACCTCAGCCTGGAGCGCCTCCCAGCCCGGGTTACCTTTTGAGTTTGACAACAAGAGAAGGGGCAGCGACTGGACCCTGGAGGGCGATTGTTTCTGGAGCAGAGGACCCCCCACTTGGACCCTCTCCCATGGCCATTTGTACCCCCAGACTGCATCTCCCCATCCAGGCAGGGTGTTCCCCAGGGCGGGACTAGCTCCAGCCCCATCTTTCCGCACTAAGGAAGGTTTGCAGATGCGGGGGCTTGGATGCCTGCCGTTCACATTTCCCGAGGGCACTGAGCGGGTGAGGGATGCATGCAAGGTCACACCGTGGGGTTGGGCCCCTTCTCGTGAACCCTAAGGCTGTGACGCCCCTACTGCCCCCCAGCCTAGGAGTCAAGGGGATAGACTGACAGGTAGTGGGGCTTGGGGGTTCAGGAGCAGGGGTCCCCACTGCAATGCTGGGTCTCTGTTTAGAGTCAAGTTCCTGGTGATGAGTGACAGGGGGCCTGTGGCTGAGACAGAGTGGTCCAGTGAGACCCACCTCCAGCAAGGTATGCGTGGGCCGTGGGAATGGGTAAGACACGAGTGCCCGGCCGGGAGGTCCAGAGGCCTCCCCGGACAGGAGTGGGCTGAGGAGAATGGGCCGGCCCCTCCCGTGAGCCAGAACCCTTCCCACCCCGAGTCTGGGGGCCAGGCCAGGAGGGAGAGGGGTCACTGATGGAGGATGTTCCAGTTCTTCCTTCTTAGTCAGATATCTCTCTTCCCTGCCTGCCCCGCCTATCTGTGGGGTCCCCTTCCCCCCTCAGCCAAGGTGCTCCCGGCTGCTCCAGGTCCCCCGAGCCCTGGCACCGTGCTCATCACCGTCATCTTGTCCATCCTGCTCGCCGTGCTCCTCGTCACCCTCCTCTACACCTGGTAAGTGACAGGACCTCCAACCTGGACACTCCCCCTCCCCTCCCTCCAGCTCTGTCCTGCAGCCGGCCCGGGCCCCGCCCCCCAGCCCAGCTACCCCATTTTCTCTGAAGCTCAGACAGGGAGCCTCCAGGTTCTGAGCTAAGATGTGCACTCCCTGGCCACTCGCGCGCCCTCTGCGCTGGGTCCACTCTTTCCGTGGCCCCTCTCGCCCCCTCGTGGCAGCAGTTAGAACGGCAAGGGAGTAAGCCAATGGCAGGCCAGCCGGGAGGCCCCAAGCTGGAGGGGAAGCGCTTTCCCAGCGCTGACCTTGGTCTCGGGCTTCATTCAGAGCTCACCAGCAGGGCCTGATGGAGAGGGGGATCCTCAAGACTTCCTACGGGGAAAGGGAAGCCTGGTCCCTGGGAGGAGAGGGAAAGGAAGAGGGTGCAGGTGCTGGGCAGGAGGGCTGCTGGCCGCAGGCAAGGCTAGGGTTTGAAGCCAGCTGAGGAAATGGGCTCGAAAGTCAACAGGATAAAGGTAAATTAAATAAAAATTGCTTTAAAAGAAGTCAGGAGCCAGCTGTGTGTATTGAAGAGGGGGACAGACTTCTGGGGAGGTGGCGAGAGGAGTATGCGGAGGCTGGGTAATGGCAGTGAGGGCAGGAGGGGCTGACGTTGTGGGGTTAGAGGGCCAGTCCGACCCTGGCCCTGCAGTTAATCTCGCCTGGCTGGTAGAACCTCGCTCTCCCCAAGGCCGCACGCTCCCAGGGATAGCGGAGTGGTGGGCCCTGCTTGATGTTTCCCTCCCTTTCTTCTCCCCACCCCCTGCAGCTTTAGCACCTGCAGGGGTGCTCTCCTCGCAGGCCCAGGAGATGCCGTGTGTTTGAGAAGATACAACACCCACCACGTGTGCGTCCCTCCAGCTGTAGGGGGCTCCTGAGGGCTTGGGCACCCGGCTTTGCCCCTCAGCCTCCTGCCTGGTCAGGACTGCAGAGACCAGGTGGGTTCTAAGGGCCGGTCACTGCCAGAAATAAATGCCCCCAGCAACCCCTGAATGTGTCATTGTACACCTCGCTGGTCTTCCTGCACCCATTCTGCTCCTCTGGGACTCTTGGGACCAGGTGAGGGGCCGGGTCCTAGGCCTGCCGAGCACTTTGGGGCAGGTGAGCCTCACTGTCCCTGTCTATTAATGAGGAGGATGCTGTTGGCCCCACAGGGCCATGGGTGGGCAAAATTGGGGTGGTGAACGTGCCCCCTACCCCACGTGTCCAGCTCCAGGAGTGAGAGATGGGAGAACGCAGACGCAGGCTTCAGAGGCTCCCTGGCAGGTGCAGCCTTGAGAAGGAGCAGCGCCCACCAGGTGCAGGGGGCCAGGGGTGGGAGTGACGAGGATGCAGAGGTCTGGAATTGATTGGGAGCTGGTTTTGTGGGCGGACTGGGACAGTAGAAAGTCGGGTGAGGAGTGGCAGAGAGGCTGGGAATGCCCCATGCCGTGTGGAGCGCCTCGCCCTCTGGGATGGAGGGGGGGGTGTCGGCTGGGTGTCTCTGGGAGGCACACACTGCCCTAAATGATTGGTTAGCCGATGCAGTACCTCTGCTCCAGCTGCGGCGGAAATACCCCCAGAACCATGGAGGAGACAGCTGGGGGGCAGCGAGTTAGCAAGCAAACAGGCTCCCAGCCTCTGCCCACGTAAGCTGTGGCCTCTCGGGAGACTTCCAGAGCAGCCAGGAGCCCAAACTTGGGGCTGAGCGACCCTGGAGAGATGGCCTGGCCTCTCTGGCCCTGCGTTTCCCCGCCTGAGAAAGCAGTTTGAAGTGGGTGACCGCAGATCCTGCACACCACAAAAATGAACATGCCACATGGGTGGGGCCGGAGAGGAAACAGATGGCCGCTATCTAGAGGGCAATTGCGAGCGTTTGCTAAGGTGTGGGCAGCAGTGTGGCAATCAGCAGGAGACGGGGCCTGGGCACTGATGGGGCCTAACGCTCTTCTGTACTCAAGGCTGAAGAACAAGGGAGCAGCCTTTCCTGGGCTGGGAGCTGGAGCCGAGGGACGGCTGCCCAGCGGGGCGGGACTGTTGGCAGCGGGGGACACCGCCCCTGGAGGGAGTGCTCCCCTGCTTCTCACCACCTGCCGGAGCCTCCACTGACACCCCTCCAGCAGCAAGAGAACAAAGTCATGGTTCATACACAACTCCTGGGGGTTCAGGAGGCTGCAGGGCGTGTGTCAGCCCCCTGGACCCCGAGCAGGGATGGGAAGACACAGAGTGGACAGAGAGGGCACGATGAGCGGCCCGCCCCTCACCCACAGCACCCACACTCTGACACCGAACGCTCTCATGCTCACCAATCACCCCAGGCCTGAGTGGGGCACCCTGCAATTTAACTGGGTCTGACACTCACTACTTGCAGCTAGGGAGGACCTCACAAAGAAGGCTCAGACGCCAGTCACAGCTATGGGTGCCCGGTACCCACACCTCAGTCTAACTTGGCTACAAGTCAGGGATACTCACAACACCCCCTCAGATTCACCATGGGGCCTACGGTTTTGGGGTGGCTCTACTCCACCTCAGACGTGGCCGGGCCATTGGCCGCTGGTGACAGAAAGCCAGCTCCAGTCCCAGTGTCCTCCCCGGAGGTCAGAGGCTAAGGACAGGGCTGAATGTCCCCCACCTTCTCTGCACAGGGCTGGTTCCTCTGCGGCCAGTCCCATCCTGAGCAGTTAGGGGCCAGCCGAGAGTCACCGCAGAAGCACAATCCCAGGTGCGGCTGGAAGGGGCTGGTGATGGACTAAAGGTGCTCCAGTCTCTGCTGCTGCTCCAGGTCCCAGGGGTTCGAGCAGTTCTGTGCACGAACCAAGTACTGTTACATCATTATCAGGTCACAACATCAGAAGGGAGTGGGCAAGCTTGGAGCCCAGGTGGGACAGTGCCAAGCCCAGAGCAGGGGCTGGCGGCGAGACTTGACCGCAGGGGGGCACCGTACCAGCCCACTGCACACCCAGCTCTCAGGCTGGCATGACCCTGAGCCGTGATGACGCGCGGTGGGCCGGGGGTCACCTGACATCAGCCTGATGCAGGAGCACACGGAGGGGTGGTGACCGGCTCCTGCCCTCTCTATATTTCTGTCCATCTCTCTGCGTGTTTCCTTCTCTTATGTTTCTCTGTCTACCTCTCGCTGGGCTCTTATCTCTATTTTTAACTCTGACAAGCCCTGGGAACTCAGCTCATTTCCTGGGGGGATGTCGCCTGAGCTGGCCCAGAGATGGGCATGACCTATCCCCAATAAACACAAGATAAAATCGCAGAGCTGGCTTCTGGGCAGTTTTGGGCTCAACCGGAGAAAGAGGCAAAACTGAAGTAGAAGAATGAAGGGAGCGTGAGGGGTGGGGACGGTTCACAGCCGGCTCCCCGTAACGCGCAGGTACTGAGGTGTCACCCGGGGCCCTGGAGGGCAGCCTCCAGTTCTGCCCTGCCCTGACCCCTGCTCCCACGCCCAGGCGTCCCCTGCAGCAGCAGCGGCCTGGGCCCCGAGTGGAGCCGGTGCAAAGCAGGCAGCTCTGCCTTCCCCTCCCACAGTGCGCATGTGCACCTACTCCTTTGCCACAGGATCTGGGGCTCTCCAAGGATCGCTGGCTCACGCAAGCGGTTGAAAGCTCCCTGGGCACTGGCCCAGGCGGGGGGGACGCGGTGAGGTCCAGGAGAGGAAGGCGTCAGCTCCTCCGGGAGTCTGGGCCGGCTTGCTGCAGGGGGTGACCCATCAGCCTCAGCTCCCTGGGGGACAGGTCCACCTTGGGGCACAGAGATTTGGGCCTGTGACCCTATTATTCAGGGCCCAGTCACCCTTTGGGGAGGCCCCTCCTAGGAAGGTTAGCTCAGAGAGAGGGAGTAGCCTTCTCCCTCCCTCCCAGGAACCACAGGTGCGTCCCTGGTAGAGACGTGGGCTGTTCCCCTTGGGGACTGGCAGGAGGTTAGACACAGGGCACTGAGGCCCGGCATGTGTGCATGCTGGCAGGGCTTGCGCTACCCAGAGCCCTGCCAAAGGCCGCTGGATCTGCTGGACAATGGCCCAAGGGATCTTGCCCACCGTTCTCTGGCCCCTCTCCCACCCCCTGCCCCTTTACCTGGGCCGCAACCTTCTGATCCTCCAAGCCTGGCTCAGCTGCTGCTCTTCCTGCAAGTTTCTGTCCTCTTGGAGTCTCCTGGACCCCAGAATATCTCCTGATGGCCCACAAAGCTGATCCCCTATCCACGCCGGTACTGAGACTGATGCATAGATGTAGACCACTCTTGTCAGCCTCCCCTGGCCATGCCATCCGGCACACAGAAGGCGCCATGTCTCACAGAGGGACACTACCTCAGCCCAGCATTTACTGGGTGCCAGGAACTGAGCTGAACACTTTGTGCATGTGAACCCCGAAGTTTGGAAGCCAATCCACAGTAACCTCATTTTGCAGGTCCGAAGAGGCCTGGGAAGCACTATCAGTATAAAAAAACAGAACCCAAAACTGGGTAGCTACATGCAAAAAAATGAAACAAGATCATTGCCTCACTCCAGTCACAAAAATCAACTCGAAGTGGATTAAAGACCTAGACATAAGAATGGAAACCATAAAATATCTAGAAGCAAAGATGGGTCAAACACTTCACGACATACACTTTAGCGACATCTTTAAAGACAGAGCA